CACGGTGGGTTGCCATGTCAAATCTGACCAGCCTCTCTCTCGATAGACCTTTTAACTAGCTTACAGAGAGTTAATCCACATATTGGGGGGGCTGACGTAAACATTCTGGGAACACTGAAGATAGCCCCAACATCTGGAGACACTGAATCACCTGTCTGTGGTGCTTAGAAGCCAGCGTTCTCACAGTCATAAAACCCTCTGTGACCGATAATAAAACTGGTAATATCAAACAAACCTTAAGACAGATAACAGACTCAGGGTTGGTCGTAAACGTCGACACACAGAAAAGGTTAGACTCCTAGGAGTAAGACAGAATTAATCCCCAACAAAAGCTACATTAACTAATCCAACTACTAACTTTGTACATTTAAATAATATTGAATTCCCAAAGCCATCCTTTATTCACCTTAAACTTGACTTTTTTATGACGACAGTGCAGAGGTGAATTCAAGAAATGACTTCCACATGCACACAGTCGTGCTGCTGCTTGTCGATGGTGATGACTCGGTTTTTGGTATCTGCCCCATGAATTTCAGTTTGATACTTCAAACTGACTTCCCTGTTTTGCACTAACAGCAACACTTGCAGAATAAAAAACAGGTAATGAAACGCCCCAGCAGTGCAATATGTTTACTGTGATGTGTGCTCCGCCACTCTTCAGCTTTCATTTTCTCACTTACTAACATAATAGTGGTTGGGTCCGGCTTTTTTCCTTTGCATGTACTGTATATGAACTGGCTTAACTGAAACCACCATATATAATGTAGCTTGATATATTTACACATACATTGATGGCAAGTCTCTTCTGCTTGTTTACTGGGTTAAATACTCTGTTGATACTGTGGCTCAGCACATTGAGGCAGATGGAGGTCTTAAAGTGCAGCCAGTCAGGCACATTTGGCACCCCTCCATGCATGCACCTGCTTGCAATCTTGTTATGTGTGTATTCAGTATACAGTATTCCCCATCACATTTATTCAAACATATACACCTGCTCCAGTATGCCTGAAATAACTTGAGGGTTAAGTGCCTTGCTCAGGGGCTAGTAATGGTAATGGCCATATGTGCAAGCCCACGCACCAATATCTGTGCATGGAGCGCATTTCCATCTAAACCACTTAACAGATCAAATGAGCCATTATAAATGTAGGATTGAATATCCCTCGGAAACTATATCACAGCAAGCACTTTGGCTATCATATTTAAAATTTAAAAAATACAAAGCACCACGGTCTGTTTAGAAAAGACAATAAAAGATGCAGTCCTGAGAGTTGCTTTTGTTGTTATTTTGAGCAACAAAGTTTTCTTGTTTTTTCTCTTTCCTTCCTCATATTCCACACAGAATACGCTCTCTCTTTGATTAGCTGGGTGCCTTGGTACACTACAGTAATTAGGCTGTCAGTCAATGCCAGATGGCTGGTGGCTATAAGATGTGAAAGTCGCCTGGAAAGTTTCCAGATGAATCTTCTGTATAGTTTTGTTGTTAAAGGGCCACAAATGAATACGGTTTAAGAATGCAACTTCTAAATACTTAAAACTGAAGATTATAACTGCACACACCTGACTACCGGCATACTGTGCTGTTCATGTATTTAATATTTCAGCATAATGGTAGAATAAAAGGTTTCATTATTTATTTGACTAGTCTGAGCTCCTATGTGTTAAATCTGAACACATTCATCACATTGATATTTATTAAGATTCTTCATCCCCTTCTGTAGTAACTTTGTTCAGTCCTAATCAGTTATTTGTTTAAGTTAACCTTTGTCTAGCATTGCACCGGTTTTGCTTTCAACTAAACAGATGTCTTTTTATCTTTTTCTAAAATAGATTGTGTTCGAGGGAATTCGAGGCCCGAGTTTCGAGGGGGATATTGCCATTGACGACGTGTCTATCACCATCGGGAAGTGCAAGCAGGACACTGTATCCAGCGCAGGTAAGACAGGTAAGATAGAAATAAACACCCAGAGAAACAAAGAGAAGCATCTCTGATAACTGCCCCCAATACCATTTTTTTTTTTTTAAAGTCAGCAAACTTAGCTAAAAAGGTGAAAAATAGCTCAATTAAACTGATTGGAACATAATGGATTGTAATGAAAATAAATAAATCTGAGGGCAGTATAGAAGGTAATTGTTATAGAAATATAATTTTCAAGGACCATGAGACACTAAACCGCTTCTTAAGTGGTTGAGAGGTGTGGGAATATGGTGCAGAGAGAAAATGTTGTCAGTGTGGGTGCTGTGTGATGACAAGTGGACACCAGCATGGAGGCGATTTGAAAGCCTTGTCATCAAATGCGGTCCCTCCTCTGCTCCATCCTAGTTTCACACAACACTAACCTGCTACCTCGTCCACACGCACTTTTAATATATCCCGTTACTTTCCCTCTTCCATTTTGCTAGCCATCTACCCTTTTATTACCCAAACCTCTGCACTTTTCCGTTTAGAGATAAAGTGTGTAGTGGTATGGATTAAGAGGAAAAGAGCATGAGTGGAGAATAAGTGAGACAGGAGAGTCTGTGAAGGAAAGAGTGACACCCCTGGATCGTAATGGCTAGACATCGTTCCACCAGGAGTATTTTTCTCCGTAAACTGACCACAATTGGCCCGACGTGCCTCCAGCTGACATGCTTGACAAGCCAAACCGAGCTGTCTGCCCATAAATAAAATACCAGAATACTATTTTGCTACTTATAAATACTGTTTGTGATGGTCGACTCTGCCTGTAGGGTGAAGCAGAGAGAAGCACAAGTGAGTTACAGGGAATCAGTGCATGTCTGCAATCGAGTCAAGGCATACGTAAATAGCCTTAAGGATAGGGGTGTAGAGAGGAGACGGACATGGTGAAAAGGTCAAAGATGAAGAGTGACCAAAACGATGTGTACGTGTGAGTGCTTGTGTGTCTACATGTGTTATGTTGTCTGTGAGAGAGAGAGAGAGTGTGAGAAAGAGAGAGAGAGAGGTTTGAGAACTAAAGGACGAAAGAGAATATTAAACTAAAACCTGCCAGCAGTTTAGCTACAGTAAGAGCTGCCCTCTGCCAGGAAAGACTTGCATACAAAAACACAGGCACTTATTGAACACTCACACAGACACACACACGCGCATACACATCATTAAATACTCATAATAGCCTTCATTGCATTCTTTACAGACAAGCACACTGACAGCTTGTTGGCACTGTTCTGTTATCGCACACTGCAATTGTTGTTAGGTGAAATGGGGACGCGTAGAAACTGTTAAACTGAGTAATAATCAATTATGTATTTTACACAACTTGTATTTTAACCATCGTTTAGTCAATTAATTTCTCATCTTGGAATTACTCACTGTGTACAGAACTCACAGTAACAGTGAAGAATGTTTAACTTGTAACTAAACGTACTACTTTGAATTAAATCATGGCAATTGTATTCATGTAGCCCAACATGACATATCACACAAGTAGCTTCACTTTAGGGGGTCCACTGACACCCTCAATAAGCATAAGAAAAAACTCCCAAAATATCTTGAAATGTGGGAAAAAGGGAAAAGCATCAGGTAGAGCAAAAGAGGGGGGACCAACTTCCAGGAAGGAGAGGCATGCAATATGTCTTATATGTATGTCTTAAGCGAGAATGTATGCATGCAACCTAAGGTGAGAATCCACATGGTTTTGTTAATTTTCTTATTTTTGCTACAAAGAAAACATTAGAGCCAAGGAAAAAAAGCAATACTGGAAAAAGAAATGAGTAAATTATTAAAATCCTGCTTCGCTAACCCCCAGTTGTGAGATGTCTATGAAGTCTGCATATGTGTGTGATCTTGCTGTTAAGACACTGGCGGATGAAGTGAATAATGGATGAAGGTGTAAACAGGAAGAGGAAAGCTCTTGAGCTCTCCAAGTGTGCGCCTGTGTCCTGCAGGTTTTGTTCAGGCACAGAGACACAGTGCAGACAGATGGGTAATTATCAGGCAGGCGATTGGAGTAACACAAATGCATCTGTCTTGAGCCCACCATGGAAGTTGTGCGGTACGATGAGGATTAGAGTACGGATTAAACTCATCTCATGTTATGCACAATGAAATCATAGGAATATGACTCACTCTTTACTTGCTTTAATTACGCACAATATGAAATATCAAACATTATAGGAAATGCCATTTTAACATGGACAATGTGGGTATGAACCAGGCTGTCATCAGAGGCTGCCTTCGTAGGATTCACAGGTGTTTAGAAGTATAGATACATGTATGTAGTAGACAGACAGACAGACAGACAGACAGACAGACAGACAGACAGACAGACAGACAGAGAGACAGACAGACAGACAGACAGACAACAGACAGACAGACAGAGAGACAGACAGACAGACAGACAGACAGACAGACAGACAGACAGACAGACAGACAGACAGACAGACAGACAGACAGACAGACAGACAGACAGACAGACAGACAGACAGACAGACAGACAGACAGACAGACAGACAGACAGATAGAAAGTGGCTGATTTAATGACAAATGGCTTAAATCACGACTGCACNNNNGGACAGACAGACAGACAGACAGACAGACAGACAGATAGAAAGTGGCTGATTTAATGACAAATAGCTTAAATCACGACTGCACGGTGAGGCAGAGCTTTTGAATACACAATTAAAATGCAGCGCATAACATCAATGAAAGCTTTGAACGGCAATCTGTCATATGGATAGGTGTGTGTGTGTGTGTGTGTGTGTGTGTGTGTGTGTGTGTGTGTGTGTGTGTGTGTGTGTGTGTGTGTGTGTGTGTGTGTGTGTGAGAGAGAGTGTATGACATCAAACTATGAAACTTTTCTGCTGCTCCCTGCATCTCACAGGATGTGGAGGGAGAGTAGGTGATCCTGGTAGCATCACCCAGCTCATACATCACATAGTGTCACACAGATACTCTCACACACTGCATACACACTCAATATACCATATACGTTCATCCACCCGCAAGTGCTTTTTAGTAATATAATCTCACATTGCATGGACACACTTAAACTGCAGGTCAACTATATGTATGCATAGGGGAATGTTGTCGTACTATCCCCCTCAAATGAAGGATGATTGCCTCTGACATGTTTGGTGCTACTCGGCCTGTATAAATCACCTGGCTCAGTTGTGTATTCAGAGTGTATGAGGTGGAAGGTGAGCACATGTTAATGTATGGTATGTACATGTGATCAGCTACGTTTTTTATTAGGAAGTAGCTCAGCATGACGGACAGACATTGACCAGTTTTGGTAGACATTTAAGTTGTTTTTCTACCTGTGATAGTTTGGATATTTCAAGCTCAACAGCAACAAGATGCAGGTTTAGAGGCTAAGATTAGTGGGAGTGGATACATTGCCTATTCACTGTCTCTACTATATGGCCACAACATACTGTACACACATGGCAATATAACATTCAATATAAATCCATTTTCTTTTAAAACCCATTTGAATTCCATGACAGAACAAAAGATGTATTATCTCTAGCGCTTTCATACAATGAGTGAAATAAGACGTCCTGCTTCTTCTTGTGTAGAGAGACGAGAGAGATAATGGGGGGAAGGGCTGAGCAAGGAAAGAAAAACAGAAAGACAGGGAGGTGTAAAACATCATGTTCAACTTCGATCTGTTGCCCGCAAACTATACCATGTCAATGTGTGTGTGTGTGTGTGTGTGTGTGTGTGTGTGTGTGTGTGTGTGTGTGTGTGTGTGTGTGTGTGTGTGTGTGTGTGTGTGTGTGTGTGTGTGTGTGTGTGTGTGTGTGTGTGTGTGTGTGTGTGTGTGTGTGTTGCATACGGATCAAAGCTTTATTATAAATATCGATTTTCTGCCTGGAGGACGGACCCTTGATATGAAATCACATTGATCTTTTTAATTCAATGCCTACTTTATATTTATGAAACTCTGTCTTTGAGCAGCATGCTTGTGTAATTTGTTACTGCATTTTTATAATGCCGTGCAAACAAGGGGGAGGACATAGTGTGTAGTAAAAGACCAGAAGAAGTGTGTTCTTCTGTTCTATTGTGTGTGGAACAGTACCATTTTAACCAAGTAAAATACATCAGAAATCTTGGATGAATAATATGTGCAACTTGCAGTTAAAAGCTTCTGCCAATAAAAGCACACCTCATTAAAGATGAGTGTACTGCATCTTCTACGGAAACCTGCACAACAACAATCACAAAGAAAACATCCATCACACATTGGTGATGATGACATCAATTGAAACTTATTTTTCTCTTTATAATCTCAAAGTTGAAACTCGATGGTGCTTCTCTCTGTTTCTCTGACTTGTTTACTTACCCCCGCCCCCCCTTTCTTGGTTCTTGGTCTGTCCCTTTTTTTGGTTCATAACAGAGATCCATTTTGCTACAACCCTGCTTTCCACATTGGTAACAGCAGGGTTTGGTAATGTTCAAACGATGCTTCTTGTTACCAAGCTTTAAACTCTCTGCCTCACCAGGGCCTTGTCTTGCCTCAGCAGTGAGCCAGACAGGCTTAAAGACGGCCTCAGGCTAAAGCAATACAACATGAACGTATCTACTTAGCAGGTGTTTAATCTAATGTCAAGGTTAGCCTGTTATTTATAAAATGCAGTTTACAAGGCATAAAGAAAATATTTGTAACAGTTGCCCCTTCTATCCGATTTGTGCTCTAAACATTGCATTTCGGAAGAGAAGAACAACATTGTATTACTTATACAACTATTTGTTTTTACTGTGAGGCTATAAGTACAGACTAAAACGAAATAGATTTTTTATACTTAATGTCCTCATATTCAATTGAATGTGATTGCATGTCTTACTTTGAGCTATTTAAGTGAATACGCTTTTGACACGCTATCTGTCATAAAGAAATCACTATAAGCAAGAGAGTGAAAAGCACTTATGATCGGTGGCGTGTAATTATTATTACAGCACTGGTGGAGAATGTGTCATCTCTACCTGTCTATGAACTTTGCTATACAACCTTTTAAAGTCACGGACAGACAGACAGCAGAACCTGGAAACAAGGGGCCTGTAAGTATTTGATTTATGATAACTGTTCTGTTCTTTTTTGCCTGTGTCCATAGTTCTGATTGGTGGATCCCGCTCACTCCCATTGGCCAGGTGGCTGACCTTCGGCCTCTCCTGCTTCCTGTTGCTACTCTACAGATGATGATCACTTCCTGCGACACCCCCCGTCTGTAGTGACAGACACTGCCCTGACTCACGCTCTTATACTTCTCTCTCTACCCTTCTCCCTGTCCTTTCCTCCACATACATGTCTCCTTAACTCTCCTTTTCCACTCTATGTGTTCCTATCCTTTGTGCATCCATGTCAGCCTTCTTGCATAGATAGAGTCTTTGTCTAGTTTCTCCTCCTCTGCTTTCTTTGAACCTTTCCCCCCAGACACTCAGTAAACCAACTGCTGTGCCTACTGTATTTAAGGTGAACATACTTAATGATATTTGACGGTTACAATTCACCTTCCCTCCTTTGTCTCTCTATTAATCTGATTAGAATAACTTTACCCATGTCAGCGTGTCACTTCCTCACCTTTACCTCTCCTTCATCCACCCTTTTATCATCCATACATGTTCCCTTTCATGTATCTCCCCCTCCCTCAAACCGCAATCCTCAACGGCCCCTCCCACCCTATTCCCCCAGACACACCAAAGTGTCGGACGCTCTACCAAAGATGACAAAGGACCTGAGGGAATAAAACGAAGGAACAGGATTCCAGGAAGGAAGTGTAAGAGAGAGAAAAAGAGGGTTAAACCGTTCTTCTTCTTCACAAGACTGTCTCCCATCGGTCCCAAACTCTGGGACGTTGGGAGCTAACGAATGATAAAGGGACGGACTAAAAGAAAGAAACTGATGATTGAATGAATACATAAATGAATGCTGAGAAAAGGACGAGCCAGAAACAGAGGAAATAGAAGTGTGCTCCTGGTAGCCTCTCTGCTTGCCCTCCGCTTGCCACAAGAGACGAACCTCAGCGCGGATTATACGTGTACATTTATCTCTATATATGTATTAAATATAACAAAGTTTAAACTTAAACACAACTAGGACAGTGGAGGACTTTACAAAGTGAAATTAAAGAAGCACAATGTTTATACAACCTCTGCTGTACCTTTGGGTTTTATTCTACTTATTATGTGATGTTGCAATTTGTCAGACCTATTCAATGTTTTTGATATTTTGCTTTTTGTTGTTCTTTGGTTCATGGCGTAACGAAGGGTCAAAGGGAACGGGTAATAAAGTATTATATTAATATTTATGAGAAGAAGAGAAGATGATTCGTGATCGAGAACCAGAATTGAGCACGAGGAGGGGAAAAGCAAAGTTGACCCAAGCCAACTGGAATGGAAACCTCAACTTGAATTGGCACGTACTGAACACACACACACACACACACACACACACACACACACACACACTTTTTTCCTTGCTGACATCACAGCCAGGCCCTCAGCTCACCCTCTGCCTCAAAACATGTCTCCTCTATGGATGAAACAAAAAGAAAACCACAGTTGATAGATACAACCTTCACGTTTCTGCGCCCTAACCATGAACTCCGCATCACTGGACATCATTACTGGTCATGTCCGGATTGACGAGCCACAACTGAAAAGCAGGACATGTTATTTCTCATGAAATGGAAAACAAGGTGTCGTCGAAGAGGGCCACAAAGAGCGTTCAGTTGAATATTTCTATCTCCACAGGTAATTGAATGTTATGTATGAATTTCCCATGCAGTGAAAAAAACTGTCAGATTGTTAGCAGCAAGGATTGCATATCAGATTTTCTGTTTTGTTTAATTAATGTCTGTAGTTTAAACTGTTTTTCATAATAACATAAATATGATGGTTCAAGTTAAGCAATACTCATATCGATAGATCTGAATACAAACCTTTATGATTGCATTTGAGATGGCAGTTCAGAAGGGAAGGGATTTTTTTCTAAATACAATTGTAGTCATCATTCATAAAGTTCAATAAAGAAGCTGTAGCTATTGTAATCATATCGATAGTATGTTTTCAATGTTCTCCATTACGCTTGAACCTATCTCAAGAAAGCTCCAAATTCACATGTTACGCTTTTGCAGTAAGTGATCTACTTGTTATGCTGATCTTCTTCATTACCATGTACATCACATGTGAATCAATCATGAACACCATATGTACTTTTGTCTATGTTATTTCAAATTGATTTGATCACTTTTGTGGTTGCTTTTTCTTAATTGTGGTTGTTACAAATTGTATTGTTGGCTTTACAATCATAAGTAGTGCAGAACATACATAAATGACGTGCCTAATAGATTGTTCCACTTTGGTGTGAGTAGCAATTTCTTTGTTAAGCTGGCACTGCTGGCTGCTGTACAGTATGAGTATAACATCATACTGTATCAATGACAACTCAGTCACTCCATGCTGCGTAAGGCATGTTGGATTAACCTGTGAAGCTCTGTGTCAGTGGTGTATTATATGAACTTGGGAGCCCTCTGAAACCTGCAGACTCTCAATAATCCTGTACATTAGCTCCATCTCCATTTACTGTACATCTCATGGCAGGTTGCAACTGAATGTTACAACCACTCCATTTGAGTGACATGCTTTCCTGTCAATGTAGCTTTGTCATGCTGCAATCGTAGACTGTAAATGTATGCTGAAAATATTTTAAACCTTTTAAAATATTTCCCACGCACATCAAGACAAAACAGGTGTATGTTTTTAGGTATTTATTACAACAACTCAATGTTCACCTTCCTAAATGGCTAAGGGATAAGGATGTTGTATTTAAATGAGCTTAAGTTTAACTTTTAGAAATGTCATGAAGCATTAATGTGCATGGCATTTTCATTGTGCTTACTGTCAAAGTGTTCTTCATATTTCCTCATATTTCAATGGCAGTGGTAACAGAGACTAATTACTTCTGTCATTTTTGCATTTTGACATGCGACAGCTGCGAATTAACTGACAGAATACTGTGGAAACCTCAGATGTATTGTCTGAAACATTGTTATATTTTCAAAATGAAAAGAAACACACTTTGAGGGGCAACTTTAAGCTCAAGTTCAAAGTGAAAGAAGACATTTATTCATTTCACCTACCCTGAGATCACAATATCAAGGCATGACATACAGATGTGCAGATAATCTGACCAATATGTTATTATCATTATGTTGCCTGGTGAAGCAACACATGGTCACTTTACCAATGGTTTATCTCAAGTTGGGAAACTAACTGTTACTGTATTCATCTACTCCGATATAATGTTTTTTTTTTGCACAAATGAATCATCAAAATGCTTCTATACTGGCACACTACAGTCCACTCTGAGGCATCACAAGCACTGCGTATTTCCCAGGTGATGACTGCCCAAAGGGAAGTTTAAAGATAATCAAGCAATCATCCTTTTTTGGGTTTTGATATCAAGCATTTAAATGCTTTAGAAATTGCCATTACATAATATTTAGAGTGTAAGCACACCTGTAGCAACACTAACATTTGCCCATGTGGTATCTAGGATACATACAATATGAGGCTTTCATATATCATATATCTAAAATCATCGCATATAGTTCAATTGACATTATTATTTCAGTACAAAATAATCATGTGCTTCGTTTGTTTAAAAAAAAAACATCTGTCAATAAAATAAAAATGAACAGCAATGAAAAGCTTCTGTCAATGATAATATTATCTGTCCGGGGGTAAAATGCTTTAGTAGCAAACAAACATCTTAAACATGCGGATCGTCATGCAGTGCTGAAACTAAGAGCAATGAGATGTGTAGCACAGCTGTTAGTTAGCATGCAACAGACATGTAATACATCTGGATTGGAGAAGAGGTTCAAGGTATATCAAAACATATCTGTGTTACCATATTGAATCCAAGTCAACTTCACAAAAATAATTTCCTGTGGCTTTTAACCAGCATACATAGTGTGATGGAACAACACTTACTGTATGCTGGTTAGGTTGAAAGCACCTACAGATTGTACATGATTTTACTTCTAGTTTGTAATTGTGTTATAAAGTCAGACCAAAGACAAGACAACTAGCTAAAAGTGTATCACATGAATTAGTGCTGGAAATGAACAGATTCATTTTCTCTTTTCTGGTAGATAACACAATGCATCTACTTCAAATCTCAAGAGAAGTGTTTTCCAAAATGTAACATCTAAAGGGTATTTATATTCCTTATAAGGAATACACTTGTTTGAGTCATTTACATTAGAGCAACTTTTCCACTTCCTGTACGTGCTCATCATCTGTTTACTGAGCCCCAGTAGAGTTACACTTTTATGACAAACTGACTGTTAATTATCCACTTACTGTTTACCATCTGTACTATCTTCAACTGATTCGAGTTGACGTCCAAGAGACTGTACGGACCTACTCAGCCTCTATTCCCTCCTTGACTGCAAAAGCTGCCAAAACAGAGAGGAACAGTTTGGCAATAGAACCACGTTTCCTTCTGGCAACACAAATACATAAAGGTAGATGTTCAATAGTGATTTTTCTGGTTTGTGGGAAATAAGATGATGTGAAACAATCAGCGTCTGAGTGCTGGCAACAGTCCTGGCTTCCCTGTTATGTTACGTAATCTCATGAGTGTTTTGCGCCCCTGTTTTACAGACTGCAATGACCTTGTTCACAAAACGCTGCGTGTGACCCTTGCCCTGTCTTCCCAAAAACAGGTGAAAAGCAAAACATTTCAAAATATGTGTTGGATTGATATTGTTTTGTAAACTTCTCCTTCTGATCAAAGTCTGGGACAAAAAAAGTTATTGACTTCTAGAGGACTTTTTTGACACATGACAGTGTGGTATTTCAACAAGCAGCTTCTGAATGATGAGCCTTAATACCTTATATAAGACTTTTTTAGGCCTCACCTGAATATTGTAATTCACTGTGACAAGCATTGTCTTCGCATTAAGTACGTTTTGGGAATCAGTGCATGAGTCACAGTAGTTGTCCACATGCTGAGTGCCAGGTCGACAGCATAGCCTTCATCGGTCTGTGTTTCAATCCATTTTTGGAACAGAAGATTTGAAATGCACCTTTAATGTGTAAAAAAGGGAGAGGGGTATCAAACAGTGCCGGGTGTTGTATATTGCTGTCATGTACTAAAGTATTTTAGAGGAAAATATATTTGAAATATGATTCTGAAAGGTATAAATAAACGTCAATGAAACACAAAAGGTTAAGGTATTATTGTTTGTTGCTGCAATTGCTCTTGTGTGAAAAGGGAATGATATGTTTGGGTATTACCCAAGTTCCTTCTCTGGCTAGATAAATGAAAAGATCGATAACACTCTTATGTCTGTACAATAAATAAAAAACAACAGCCGGACGCCAGCTAGTTTAAATTAGCTGTAATCAACACTTGAAGCAAATGAAACAGCTAGTTAGACTCTGTCCTTGGGTATCATAATCTGCCAAACAGCACATCTAAACCCTAGTAGTACACACATTATTATTCAATTCAAAAACTGGGGAATAGATATGAAAAGTTACTGTTTTACGAAGGTTATGCTATTTCTTGCTTACTTGCCGTATCTTCCTGTAGTTTTGTTGCCAGAAATTGCCATGCAACGTTTGTCCCAAGTAATGAATAGTCCGGCATATTAACTTCTTAAAACTGAGGTTAAAGTTGTATTGGTTTATTAGTTAAGTCTATTGGAACTTCAGGAATAGTTCATGGTTTATGACGGAAGTCCGGTTAAATCAGGCACATTTTGTATTTTCCAACCAAACATCCATTGGCTGTGCAATGTGTATGCCTTCATGGCATCAATTAGATTAAGCACTACAATATAATGAAACATTAAATGTATTTCCATATATGCCTTTATTGTACCCCTCACTTTTTTTAATTTTTTTTTAACATAATTACTTTGGGAAGAATAACTATTTGTTTACATCACACTATGTGATTAATAAACCAACATGTTTGGACTTCTTAACAAAATATGCATTAGTGGTGCACACTAAGAAAATAACATGAAACTTCATAACATAACTGCTTTCACATTACTTAATAATACAACATCATTTGGATAATTCTAAAAAAAATTGATGTTCATGTATTTTTACTTGAGATTACCCTTGTGCTCTTCATTGAGAGTAGACGTGATTGATTGCACTTGTCGTTGATGCAACACACAATTGATGAGAATCCTCAGGAATTAATTAATTGCTAAACAAATGTCAGAGCTTGCTAGCTAATGACTTTACTGCCAAGGCTGCCAGCTCATGCATGCCTAATTTGTGATATGTGTGTAAATGATCTCACAAGAATGTTTTCTTCCATCTTTCAGCACCTCAGCGTAGGATGTCACAGCAAAGTCACAACATAACAACAAATACAGTAATCGGAACTAATTTACACTCCAAGGGCGTGTGATAATCGTATGCCTTGCTTTGACATTATCACCGTCTCTAATTGTGTTTTGCAATTGCTTTCAGTTTTTTCCCTCAGCCTTTTGTCTTTGTTCTCCTGTCACTCTCCCCTACATTCCCATTTCTGAATGCAATGAGAATAACTAAAAACGGTTTCAGGCCAAAACTAGAGACCATCTTGCAATTGGATCACACCAATTGTGTATAGGTAAGCAAGGGGCAATTACCACACCCATTGTTAAGCTCGACCTTCATTTTGATCCTAACTATATATCTGTAAAGTTTCATGACTGCATTTTGCACGGTTGTAACGTTATCGCGGCCACATAAATCTGTCCACAGGGAACACAAAACACAAACATACTCACAAGGTGAAAGCAATGCCAGCGTCTCTGTCCCGGCTGGTAAACATACAGCAAGTGTAAAGAACCTGTGAGTCTTTTGACCTTATTATTAACAAGGCTGTTTACTTTCTTACTTCAGTCTGGAGCGCAGGGAAATGTGAACTATTTCAAAGATATAAATTACATCTCTCTTTTTAACACACACACACACACACACACACACACACACACACACACACACACACACACACACACACACACACACACACACACACACACACACAAATAACTGGTGTCAGCTCACTTGCACAGTATCAGACTTGAGAGACATTCGCTTATTCACGGCTCTTTTTTCTTTTTCACCATTCTCATATTTTCTCTTTTCTCTCCCTCCTCTCTCTATTGAGCGAAGCAGAGATGTATAGATAGAAGTCTAATTAATGTGTGCCTTTTTCTCTGAGCCGCCTCTTAGTGGAGCGCAGGGTGGAGGCGGTAGGGCTGAATGGTTCAGCACTTTGCTGTTCTCCTTCATTTGTTGTCTTTTGAGGTGGGATTTCTTACTGAACCTAGTTGTTTGCACTTGTATTAAGGGAGAAGGACCTTGCTGCTGCGGCTGTTGATTCAAAGATTACTAGGGGTTCATTACTGACAGGTCCAAGCTTTACTTCTGAGAAATCCTTATTATTTTCAGATGGTTGCTGTGGATATATATATATATATATATATATATATATATAATACATACTTGTGCACAGAGCAACTTGGCAGCTATCAATACCCCAGTTAGTTTGGTGCTAAGCAGGCTAGAGTTGTAAAAAACATAATTATATATAAATATATATATATATATCTATATATATATATAGATAGATATATATATATAGAGAGAGAGAGAGACTGTCTCCCAAGAAGAATACTAAAATATAGCTATTCAGTTGTATTCAACAATTGATGGTTTTCTTAGACAACGGAACTTTGGTTGAGAGCAGAGAAATATGTGTTATAGGATACAGGATCTCCCACTTTACCTGACTGTGAAATAGTTATGTTAAACCTCTAAAAGTCAGAATTTCACATTATATTTAATGTGTTTTTTGCTGGAAATTCTCTTCTTGCTCTTATGTTGTTGTATTATTATAAATAAATAAAAACACTTTATTTCAGATTTCTTGATTGGAAATGTCTAGACTCTAGATGTATTGTTCACCATCTTCCACCTCACCACATATCCACCCAAACATTTAGACATATTCAGTATTGTCAAACTATGGGTTGATTTTAACTAAACTAAATGCACAGCATTTTAGGTCTTTACTTTCTTCCTCCCTCACTTCCTTACCTCCATCCTTTCTTTCCTCCAGAGAAAGAGAAGGCGACTCATGGATGAGAGCGTTGTGTTAAACACACCTTACATGTGCATGCTCTCAAAGGAGTGACAAACTTAGCTTGAAGAGTGAATTCCATTTGTTTGATATTGAGCCTTTTGAGAACTTGTGCTTTAGACACTCTGTGTATTAAGGGATATAACTATTATATGTCTCTGTCCTCTGTACATTATTTATCACCCACTTCTCTTCTGTGGTTTCCTTTAAATGCTTATTCAGTGCCAGAAATGTGGAAGTAAAATGTTAACATTTGTCTCAGAAGAGGTCTGACTAGAATTTACTTTTAACTCCTGTGAGTGGTCTGCATTTTTAACAAAGGTTGGCTCTTCCACTTCTACAAGGTGAGCCAGGAAATAACTCTCCACCAATCTTGTAAATGAAGGACAATGTGATGTACCTCCTGAGCCATAGCTGTCTCTGCAAACCAGCAGTTGTGTGTAGTATTTCCTGATTCTTATTCCAAATCCGATGTATCGATGTATTCTCGTTATGCATTTGTACCTGTATCTACACCTGAGCTAGATTTAGGTTTGAAAGAGATGGATTACTTTTTCAAGTGTAGTACCTTAGAGTGCTAAAGAAACAAATGACAGAGAGATTGTGATTACAACAAGTCAAACTGAAGGTATGTCATTCAGTGTTATGGGATTATGAAGTACTACTTGACAAGCTTAGTGTTCATCTTCAGTGTGAGGACAAGAAGTGCCTGTGCTGTTCTAACTTCTCTAAGAAGTTCATTCATTCATGAGTGAGTGGGATGAACACCTCCATGATCTGCCTGTGAACACATAGTTTAATCACAGGATTGATACTGATTTTAAATCAAATACAAGACATAATCTTGGGTAAACAACTTGTATTAGAACGAATTGGGAGGAAGACGATGAGCATCTTACACACCAAAAAGATTGTCAGGTGTCTTTTGAATGTTTTGTGCTCCTACTTGGACATGTTTACATGCTATGATGTTCAAACAGGCTTTATCTTTCTCATATTGCCTGTGCTGCAGCACCTATTCCCGCCCTCTGTCTGAAAGCCCAATCTGCTCTGATTGGGTGGGACATCTCTCCACTTAGATACAGTATCTCCCGCCCCTTAGCCTATCACGTACAATGTAAACACACCCCCACAATAAGCTTGTATCTCATAAATTCCGCAATTGGCACATTTATAGTGGAACAACTACATTTTTAACACAGTTCCAAGTAAAAGGCACGTTGTATATCTAAAACAAAGCAAAACAGCACCAGATGACCCAAAGAGTGGGAATCTTGATAATGACTTCTTCGATCCCCTGACCTTTTATATTGCCCCCATCAGGTCTCAACATGCAATTGGGACAACTTTTTTCCAGACATTTATGGTTACCAGACAATGCATCTTAATGAGTTTCGTAATGTTCCGACTTTTTTTTCTAACGCCACACAGAGGTTGAATTGTATTGGTATTGGGTGGATTTCTTGAACGCTTACATTGCTTAACATTTGGTACAGACATGTACTGTATGCCTCAATCAGACGAATTGTAATAACTTTACTGATCTTTTGCTTTATTTTATTTTTATTTTATTGGGTCAAATATTTCCCAATAAATTCCTTACAATAAACACTAATGATATTCCATCCAGCTTCTACTGCACTTTGTGTTGAATTAGCAAATGTGAGCATGCCAACATGTACAATTGAGTAGTTACATAAAACCTCTTAAACACCAACCATTAAGAGCACATTCGTAGCCAAATTGGTGCATATTTCTGCGACGTCCAATGGTTTGATTACAGCCTAGGGATCTTGGTTGCGTCACACCCTTTTCTCTCCCTCCTCCATTTCTTCTTGTCATCTGTTGATAAAAGACAAACATCTCTTAGAGCCTCAGTCTTGTTATGCAATCATTCTCATTGTGTGTTCTGCGAGTCCATATTAAGCTTGAATCAGTACTGCGTGTCAGTCATTGATTGAGGATGTAGGAGGAAGAATGAGTAAGGTCATATAATCAGCACAATTTAT